TAAAAAAAAAAAAAAAAAAAAGAATACTAGATAAAAACTATTCCTGTACTGATGCATTTAGGATTATACACCTGCGTGTGCATGCATGTGCACCAATTTTAAGGGAAAGCAAGATTAAAAGTTTGTGTTAAAAGGTAGTGTATTTGCTGTAAGAGCTGTCCTTACGGAGAATAAAACTTAATCATAGTATTTCATTTCCTCCTTTATATATCTGGGAGAAACTGATCTTGCTCTACACCCTGCCTCTTCTTTTTTTTCTTGCAAAGTTAACTGTTCTTGACCTCAAGAGGTATTTTAACTTGACTGGTGATTGCTTAAGAACTCAGTCCTCAGAAAGCTACATTAAGAAAAGAAAAGAACTTATTTAAATTGTTCTGTTTGTACTGGAAATGAAATGCGCATACTGTGATCATTTTATTGATTGCCTGTGTTCTTTCCAAGAGGCAAAGGTGGGCTGATCACTGAGCTGCCTCTAGAGGGCTGGCAGGGATATTTGGAGGCTAAAGTACTGATAGACCCACTGAGCACTAAATACCTCATAGTCCCTTTTCAGGAGCCTCAATTGGTGCCTGGAAGTTTTTGGTCTGTTTTCCGTGTGTGATAATATCAAAATATAGTAAAGAAGTACACGAAAGTGAAATTTACTTTTCATGAGAAATTACGGCATAGTAATTCAGTATTTAATTTTTATTGTGTGCCTGCAAATTTGTTAATTATCCAGGAATTATTTCTTTATTATATATCTTAAGTGTACTTCTGTTTATGGGGGAGTCCTGGCGGTGTTGTGTATTATTCATTGGGATGGTAACTGCAAGGTCAGCAGTTCGAAACCACCAGTTGCTCTGCAGGAGAAAGATGAGACTTTCTACTCCTGTAAAGATTTATAGTCTGGGAAACTCATGGAAGCAGTTATATTTTGCCCTATAGGGTTGTTATGAGTTGGAACTGACTCCATGGCCTGAGATTTGGTTTCTGTTTACTGAAGTGTGAGCATCAAGTGATAATTGATTATTTTGAAAGGTAAGTTGGAAGGTGGGGCTTTGGTGGTTCAGTGGTTAAAGCACTTGGCTACAGTTGGAAAGGTCCTGCGATTTGAACCCACCAGGGGCTCTGCAGGGAAATATGTAGTACTCTGCTTCCATGGAGATTCACAGCCTTGGAAACCCCAGGGATAATTTTATTCTGTCCTTATATAACTCCTGTGAGTTGGCATCAACTCGACAGCAATGGATTTAGTTTGAAGTGGGAAGAAATTGAAGAGGAATGGTAGTGGTGGTATGGAATGGGGTTTGGGGATCATCTTGATCCCAAACTATCTTTTATTTGTTAGTTGAAATCAGCGTTCCTTATTCTTCCTGTGGCAACAAGTTCCTGTTCTTCTTACCTACAATCAGTATTTCAGTTGCTTGAGACTCAACTGTGTAACCATTTTTGCTGGAGATAGAAATTTGCTATAGACATAGAAAATTATTACCTATTTATTCTTGGAGTAATATTACTGTACCATGTTTATTGCTAGCTCATTTATGTTAATGTAAAAATAAGTGAGTCTTTGTTTTTATTCTTTAAATTCATGGAACAACATATCAACCTGTGTGATCACGGGGTGTCGAACGGATCACTGAAGACAAATGGGTGCATAAGCAAATGTGGTGAAGAAAGCTGATGGTGCCCGGCTATCAAAAAGTATAGCGTCTGGGGTCTTAAAGGCTTGAAGGTAATCAAGCGGCCATCAAGCTCAGAAGCAACAAAGCCCACATGGAAGAAGCACACCAGCCTATGCAACCACGAGGTGTCGAAGGGATCAGGTGTAAAGCATCATCAGAACAAAAAATCTTACCATAGTGAATGATGGGGGGAGTGCAGAGTGGAGATCCAAAGCCCATTAGTAGGCCACTGGAGATCCCCTTGCAGAGGGGTCTCGGGGAGGAGATGAGCCAGTCAGGGTGCTATGTAACAATGATGAGAAATACAACCTTCCTCTAGTTCCTAAAGGTTTCCTCCCCGCTCCCACTACCATGACTCGAATTCTATCTTGCAAGACTGGCTAGACCAGAGGAGGTACACTGGTACAGATAGGAACTGAAAATACAGGGAATCCAGGACGGATGAACCCTATAGGACCAGTGGTGTGAGTGGCAAAACAGGGAGGGTGGAGGGAGAGTGGGTAGGAAAGAGGGAACCGATTACATGGAACTGTGTGTGACCTCCTCCCTGGGGGACGGACAACCGAAAAGTGGATGAAGGGAGAAGTCGGACAGGGCAAGATATGACAAAATACCCATTTGTAAACTATCAAGGGCTCATGCGGGAGGGGGGAGCGGAGAGGGAGGGGAAAAATGAGGACCTAATGTCGGGGGTTTAAATGGAGAGAAAATGTTTTGAGAAACGATGTACAAATGCGCTTTACACAATTGTTGTGTGTATGGATTGGGATAACAGTTGTATGAGCCCCTAATAAAAAAAAAAAGAAAGATACTGATAGATGAAAAAAAAAAAATTCTATGGGAGAACAGGAAAAGAAGAGAAAGGAAAAGTTACATAGCACTACTACTCTACTACTCAACTACTTGGGGTCATCGAGTCAATACTGACTCAGAGTGACCCTATAGGACAGGGTCCAACTGCCTCTTGAATTTCTGAAACTATAACTCTTTATGGAAGTAAAAAGCCCCATCTTTTTCCCATGGGCCAGTTGGAGGTTTTGAACTGCTGACCTTATGGATCACAGTCACATGTGTAACTGCTATGCGGGTTCTTTAGTACATGAAACCCCAAACCACCAATTGTTGAATCAGTTCTGACTCATCACGACTCTATAGAATAGAGTAGAATTGTCCCATAGGATTTCCATAGCTGTAAATGTTTATGGAAATTGACTCCTTCCATAAAAATTTCTTTCTGCTGTAGAGTGACTGATGGGTTTGAACAGCCAACCTCACACTTAGCAGCCAAACTGTTTAGCCCCTGCACTTCCAAGATTCATTTTAGTATATCTGAAAATTCACTATCATCAAGCTAATTCTGACTCAGTTGACCCTGTAGGACAGGGTAGAACCATTTCTCTGGGTTTTGGAACCTGTAACTCCTTATGAGAATAGAAAGCCTCATCGTTCTTCTGAGCAAGTGGCGGTTTCCAACTGCTGACATTGTGGTAAGCAGCCTAACTGGCAACTCATGAGATTGGCTGGGGATAAGTCATTTTCTTGGATTACCTTGAGCTACTTAGGAGGTATTTGATCATGTTGATGATCTCTTATATTCTGAAGCACATTTAAAAGTATAACGCATTTGTTTTTAAATTTTAACATTTCTTTTACAAATTGCTAAAACAGCTTTCATTTATCTTTTTAATGTTTTACTGAATAAATATGAGGAGGCTTAAAAAAGTTCTTGGAAAAAATTTTATTATGTTGTAATTCCATAAGCTTTTGAAGTCCCTTTGTATTAAAAATAAAGCTTTTATTTCAAAGTATGCTTTGTTAAAACTGCCTCTCTTTTAAAGTTCTTTTTAGGGTTGAAGGTGAACCTTAATCTAATAACCATCACAAAATTTATTGTTTATATGTAATAAATGGCTTTAAATTCACCTGTTGTTTATTAGTCATATTTTAAAATATGATTTGTATTGCATGTTTCTTTATGGATGTGGTTGTTTCTTAGTGGTTGATTAGGAGAACAAATCCATAGCATTTTGGCAACTCGGGCTCTGTATAAAGGCTACCTATCCTCCACTCCGCTTTTAAATTAACCGATCCAATGCTAATCATTCTTTGTATTCCTTAGTCCTGCTGTTTGTAGTATTGCTATTATTTTTTGCTAATCTCAATTCTGTTCATAATGCTGTAAAAAATGGCATCATTCATTCCCATGCCTCGTTTGGCTGCCTGATGTTGTAATATGTTCTCATTAGATATGAGCTTGTATCAATTTTTGTTTTCTAGTTGTATATACTATTTTTGTATCAGTGAAATTGGAAAACTATTTCCTGTGAGCAAAAACATTCATTGACCAAACTTTCTCATTGGCTTTGTTTGTCTTAGAGCTTTCTACTAGTTGAAATACAAAAAAATATGATCACCTTAGATTAGTCATTATGAAATGAAGTGATATTTAAAAAAAAACAAGTATGAGTATTATAAAATAACAGTGAATTTTTAAAAATTGGACATTTGACCCTTAAGAATTGATCATTGGATATTGAAAATCCTGAAAGTGAATATAAATAATTTACTTTTGAGAAGAATTTTAGAAAAATACCTATTGTAGGTTTAGTGTAGTAATGTTGGCTTTAACTTTCTCTCCTCTGTTTATAGGACGGATTGTATAGAAAAGAAAGACAGCCCTGAAGTATATTTTTGTTGCTGTGAGGGCAATATGTGTAATGAAAGGTTTTCTTATTTTCCGGAGCTGGAAGTCACACAGCGTAAGTTCACAAGGAAATGCATAGTAAATTTAACTATTTAACTAGTAAATTGAAAATAAAGTATACTTGAGTTGTATGCAGTGACTTATTTCTACTTCTTTCTTTTTTTAAATTAAAAAAAGTATTACTATTTTTATTTCTACTTCAGCTGTTTTTTTAAACTTTGACAAAAAGAATAAAATATTTATTTAAATATAATGAGTTGATTTTTCCCTCCCCTTTTCTATAGCTACTTCAAATCCAGTTACACCTAAGCCACCCTATTACAACATCTTGCTCTATTCCTTGGTGCCGTTAATGTTAATTGCAGGAATTGTCATCTGTGCATTTTGGGTGTATCGACATCACAAGATGGCATACCCTCCTGTACTTGTGCCAACACAGGTATGTTAATCGCCTCATTTTGTGCTGTTTGCAGTGATGTTTATTGGAAGAAAAGTTATTTTTGGGTTTTAAAATATGTGGGGATAATTTTATTCGCCTCATTCTAATTGGGAAAAATGCCTTTAGTGATACCTATTATAAAGTTGAAAATAATTTTCTTTTGGAGTTAAATTCTGAATATTTGTTTTCAGGTTGTTAATTCTGTGACATTAATTTTCTGTGCCCTAAACGGTTTCTCATTCAAGGGAGGAGGTAGAATAGAATGGAGGATCATTCCTCTTCTTGTTCTTCTTTGGAGATTTTTACTTTCATCCAGTACGTTTTGTTTCTGGGGAAGCATTCATGATAGAGGAGGAGTGATACCACTATTCCTTCTTTCCCTTCTTTCATCTATTCCTAAGTTTTGTGTCTTTCAAGATGACTTCGCAACGCATGGGAGGGGGCCCAAGAAAGTGAGGCAGAGAGTGTCAACTGAAAGACAGCCTTTAGATAGACCCATGCACATTGTTTGTATGTGAGCAGCATTTTTGCTAGTGAGTAGCATTTCTCATTTTATGTTGTTGATAGTTACAAGTATATATTGTAAACATATATGTGCACACACACATTTGTTGATAGCATATCAAGGGTGTACTGAAGCTTAAAATTTATTTTTAGTGCCTTTAATTCTTATCCCCTCTCAAAATATTTCTGAAAATACAGGTGTGGTGGGTAAGAGATTAAATTCATTAAAATTTCCTCATTCTCCACCATGTAGACAGTTGGCGCTGGTCCAGTGTTTTGTAAGAACTCTTTAGTAGTAGTTAATATTCAACAAGTCCAGGAAAACTGATAATTTTTGTATATACTTGCTTGAGACATATCTAAACTGCTTTTATGATTTCATTTAACTCTTTGGATCAGATTACCTTGGCCTTCTGGATATCTTGGCTTAATATAGGTTTTCTAATGCTTGTGAGAGTAATTGTCAATACTTGGTACGAGAAAATGGTAAAGTCCTATAACTTAGTGACCAAAGTAACTCCTTTCCTTATATATTGGAATAGCACTTCTTTCTCAGTACTTGCAGTGTTCTGTTAGCAGTAGATCTCTGGTCCCTAGAATCTCTGTAAGATTTGTATGTGGAGATATAAACCAACGAAAGCAGTCTTGTTCATGAGTTAGGTAAACATACTCTCATGTGCAGCCTAAATAGTTTAGCTTTAAGATACTAGTAACTAATTTATGTGTTTACTAAAAATCACACATACAAAGTGTTTTAAAAGATAAATTTTAGTACCCAGTATATGTATAGTTTAGTTCAAATGGCCAAAGGACACATTTTCTTAATTATTTTTTGGGGGTGGGGGCGGGTAACCAGTTGTTATTTGCTTTAGTATGTACATTTTTGAGGGGTTACCACACACACAAATGGAATTTTTTTTTCAATGCTATGTATTAAAATTTTTTTTTACAAAACAGCCTTATCACTTTCAAAGTGATACTCTCAATAAATTGTCAAATATGTGGTTCCATTCTTGGAAACATTTTTCAAACTCGTCCGTTTGAATGGCTGACAGCACCTTCCTCATTTGTTTGTTTTTTTTCACACCTTCAACATGGTCAAATCGCTGTCCTTGCATGTCCCTCTTCATTTGCAGAAAGAGAAAACAGTCGCATGGAGCAAGGTCAGGTGAGTCAGGTGCATGGGGCAAGAGAAACATACTGATTTTTGCCAAAAACTGGCGCACTGATATGGCTGCATGAGGAGGTGCATTGTTGTGGTGGCAAAACCAGTCCCCCATCTGCCACAAATCAGGCCTTTTTTTGTTGCACAGTTACACAATGTTTTCAGAACCTCTAAACCAGGAGTCCTCAAACTTTTTAAACAGGGGCCAGTTCACTGTCCCTCAGACCTTTTGGTGAGCCGGACTATAGTTAAAAAAACAAACAAACCTATGAACAAATTCCTATGCACACTGCACAGATCTTACTTTGAAGTAAAAAAACAAAACGGGGCAAAAACACCTGGAAGGTCGGGTAAATGTCCTCGGTGGGCCGCGTGTGGCCCACGGGCCATTGTTTGAGGATGCCTGCTCTAAATCGAAAGACTGATTAACAGTCTGACCTGGTGGAATGAACTCCAAATGCACTATTCCTCTCACATCAGAAAACCAAATGAGCATCGTCTTCATCTTTGATTTCATTTGTTGAGCTTTTTTTTTGGAGCGAGGTGACAATGGTGTCTTTCACAAGCTTGATTGATGTTTGCTTAAGAATAGCACCGTGTCTCCTCAGCAGTAATGGGGGAAAAAAGTCTGGGTCATTTTGAAGCTGTTCTTTCAAAGCACTGAATGTTTCCACTTGACATTCTTTTTGCTGGTCATTCAGAACCCAAAGCACAAATTTCGCAGACACCCTCTCATTCCCGAATTTTCTGTTAAAATTCGCTGAACCAAGCTCTAAGATAGTCCAGATAACTTCCCCATCTCTTCAGTGGTTTGTTGTCGCTCTTAAAGCACAAGTACATGCATTTTGTTGACATTTTTGCCCGTTTGGGAAGTTTTGAGATGTATGGATTGAGGTTTGTCATCAATTGATGTTTCACCTTTTCTGAACGGAGAAAACCACTTGAACACTGGAGTTTTCCCCCCTAGCGTTGCCCTTGTAAGCTGTGTTCAACATCATAACAGTTTCTGTGGCATTTTTCCTGAGCAAGAAGCAAAATTTCATAGCCACACACTTTTCTTTTAAATTTTGTGATGACAAAAAAGCGAGGTTTGAGTGAAACTGTTTTTACAATAATATTCACTATCACCAGAGAGAACCTTCCCAGACAACGTTACTGGGTGCACTCACTAAGAGCAAGTTGCTTGATGCTTGCCTAGCAGGAAAAATGAGTGCAAGCTCCACCTAGTGTTGCTTCTTTCCGTTTTGGGGGGTACCCCGTGTAGAAGAGACAGTACAGTTTTATGATGAAAGAAACAAATTAGAGATACTATACTTGAAAACAAACTCAATAAAGTTTTCAAAAGAGAGGGCTTTTAAAATAGTGCTGTAGTTTTATTGTCAATATTGGCTTATAAAAAGCATTTCTACAAATGTTTAAGGCATTTTTTAAGGTCTGTATATTCTTCATAGGGACCATTTTATTTAGACCATGTTTAATTCAAGGGTCCAGCCTTTAAAGGGAAACATGCGTCATTCATAAATGTCTAAGAACCAAAGAACTCCAATGAGTTTCTATTTCTGTCAGTTTTAGTAGACATTCTTGATAGCTGTGATTGATGTTACTATATGCATCTTATGTAGAACTGGGATTGCCCCTGTGGTGAGTGCACCAGAAGATCTGAATTGCCGAAAGATAAAGGGACACCTTTTATGGTTTTGTGCTGGAATGACCTGGAGCTATGAAGCTTTGTTGGGGAACATAAAAGACATCTTTGACTGTATACTTCCCTTTTCTCTTATAAACTATGTGGTGGAAGAGAGTTTTGTCAGCAATGTGGACCTTTCTTTATGGCACCGCTCATGTCTCTAAGAACGAGTATGGTGTCATGCTTTGCATCTCATTTGTGATGAGCAGTTTATACAAACTACAGTTCTATAGGATTACTTAGTAGGGTACTTCTTAATTTAGTTTTTCTTGTTATAGAAAGCTAAATTTTATTTCCTAGTTTAAAATAGTGATTGAAAGCCACAGTTAGCATATATTGAACATCCATTGTACTAGGGTGATGTTAAGTTAAATTCTTATTTATGAATGTGTGGAAACATACAAACTTAAGTTAGAAAGTATATTGATATTAGGATTCCAATCCATAAATGCTTGTTCACATATGCACTTTTTCATCTGTAGGCTTTTCCAGGTATTCCAGTTCATATGATTGTTCATTATAAACAAGACTTGTTTAAACATGTCTCTGATCAGTGGATGCATGCCTGCAGACAAGCTCTCTCAGTAATAGACTTGGCTTCATCTCATTAGGTTGCCTTCAGAAAAACAGTCTAATCAGGACCGTTGCTTCCAAGGGGGTCTGCAGGGCCAGTTACATTTATGGCAGAAACGTTTGACCTGGAGGTTATGGCAGCTATTATTTTTTATTCTAAAAGGGGTAATTATATATTTTCTTGACACACAGAATGATCATGGGATCTTATTAGGAAGAAGTTTTAAGAAAATTGAAAACTGTGTTGTTGAGAAAAAGGCCAGAAAAGTTACAATGGGGAGTTTATTTTCATTATGACAAAGCACCTGCTTGTTCTTCCGGGGTAGCAAGAGCTGTCCTGTAAGAATATCATTAGGAAAACTTAACCGATCCACTCTACATCTCTCATTTTGTTCCTTCAGACTTCTTTTTTGTTGCCAAAACTTAACTTGAAGAACATTGACAAAGAAAACAATATGGGTCCCTTGAGGATGCCCAAACTGCTGTTTTTGACATGGTGTAAATGGAAGAGTGGACAATTCTTTGGGGACGGGTGAGAGAGATGGAAACACCATCTGCAGAAAGAAAGAGACCAGAATTTCCCTTGACCAGTGAGCAATTCTGCCTCCTGAGTGTGCTGGGAAGACCCAGGGGAACTATCAAAGCAGATGCCTACACTTTATCTTGGATTATAAGTTATAGGACAAAAGTTTCTAATTGCCTTGGAAGGCGCTGAGCACATTCCCCCCCCCCCCCCCCCCCCCCCCCCAAAAGTGGGTGATAGGCAAAAAGTTTGGAAACCTATGGTATGTATAGACCGGGATTCTCAACCTGTGAGTCGCAACCCTTTTGGGGGTCGAGCACCCCTTTCACAGGGGTCATCCTGTTCATAAGAGTAGCAAAATCACAGTGATGAAGTCTCAATGAAAAGAATTTTAGGGTTGGGAGTCACCACAGTATGAGGAACTGTATTTAGTGGTTGCAGTATTAGGAAGGCTGAGAACCACTGGTCTAGACTGAGATGGAAGGAGGCTATGTTGAGACACAATTTTATGTTTGGAGAAATTTTGTTTAATAAGGTTTCTATTACTT